TAGAAGCTATACTTATAAGGAAAATCAATCAGAACTACATGTACAAACACTTGATTGCCTTCCTAGTGTAAGAACCTAAAAGAGTAAGTCAGATCTGAAAGGTACAAAAGGCACTGTGAAAGGGAAAGAAACTCTTTAATGGAAAGGAATAACTGGGATGAGGGAAAGGAGAAAAGAAAGAAAGAAGGAAGAGAAAAAGAATTTATATGTGTACACATAGGATAGGCTCGGATAATTGAAATGGTGATTTTTATTGCTCTAGTAAAAGGAACAGTTATACAAGCAATTCTCTCTCTTGGCTACATTCCTTTACTTACTGTATTTATCACCACCTGAGAAACCATGTATTCAATTATTTATTCTGCTCTTCCTGATAATTGGTACAATTTATGAGAACAGAGATTTTAGCTCTACATTGTAGAGTTACATGTATATATATAATTGCTAATATATATCTACATATATACTTACTAATATATATCTATATGTATACATATAGAGAGAGGGTGAGAGAGAGTGTGTGTAAGAGAGAGGGAGAAAGAAGAAAGAAAGAGAGAGAGATTCATATATATCAGCCACTTTAAAGTATTTGGTAGATAAGTTTATGAAAATTTTGTAATAACTCCATGAAAGGAGTATATATCACCATTTTAGAAATGAAGATCTGCACATGAAATCAATCACAGGCTCTGGCAGTGGACGACTGGATAAAGAAAATGTGGTATGTACATAGATGATGGAATATTGTTCAGCTGTAAGTTAGAAATAAATTGTGTTATTTGTAACAACATGAATGAAACAGGAGGACATTATACGATTTAAAAAAAAAAACAAACACAGAAGACAAATATGGCATGATCTTACTTACAAGTGGAATTCCCAAAATCCAAACTCCAAATAGTGTTTGAAATTAGCTGAGTTCCACCACACAGCCTAAAACAGTAACCTGGTGAGGGGAATGAATATTTTAACTAATTTGATTGAACTGATCATTACACTATAAGTATCAAAATATCATGTTCTATACCTTAGATTTATACAATTTTTGCTTTTCAACTGCAAATGGATAAAGCTGAATATCAACAATAACATAAGTGAGGATCTGAAGTTTAGCAAGAACAAAAGATGTCTGATGCTGTCGACTAGCAAGTGGCAGTGTTTGCATTCCATTTCAAAGCTTTTGACTTCATTGTCAAATGAGAATTTCAAAATTGGTTTGCTTCACCCATATTAGATTTGCCTCATGTTTGAAATTCAATATGTGTAACACACACACATGCACACACACAACTTTATGTGTATACATATACAGCTTAGAGGGTACCATGCCATAACTTCTTTTTGTCTTGTACCCTAATAATTTGGTTTTGGATCTTGGTGAAGTACATGCACCTCAGCCTGTCAGAGCAAAAGGAAAACAAACTTCCCCTTTCTAGGAGTAGCTTTGAGAAGTGGTCAAATACATTGGCCAATTGTTATCATAAGAAAACATTGCAATATCAATTATGGAAAAATATCATAGCTTCTTTTCACACAAAATGATTGGGTGTTGTGATAGGCAACTCTAAACTTTTTTTTTTGTTCAATTTCCTTTACTCATTTATGCAGAAATCTGTTTTTTAATTACCACCCTAACAGACTCACTGTTGTTACTGTTGTTATAACCTTAATGTTCAAAATAAAATATGTTCCAGGGGCATGCTAATGGGTACAGTCAGACATGACTGTTCCGGAGCCGCATTCTGAGGAGGTCCCTGCCCCGAAGCTCACACACTCCTGTTTCGTGACCTCTCAGAACAGAATGGCAGGATTCTAAATCGTCACAATCCAACCGTTGTTACCTCCGGTCTCTAAATACTCGAGGAGCACTGAGAGAAAGGCCCCGTGCAAGGTGATCAGGTTGTTACAGCGAGCGAGACAGGGGGCTGGTGAAGCCTGCGTTTGCTGCTTATATTTGTTGTGTTTCAGGTGCTGTGAGCTTAGCTCCTCAGCCTATGCACTAGGGTTTTTTTTTGGAACTGGGAATTGAATTCAGGCGCTTGCACTGAACCATCTCCCCAGCCCCTCACTAGGCTTTCTGTTTTGATACTAAAATATTTCCCATGGCTCAGTGGAATAAGCGCTTCCCTGGCAAGTGCAAGGGCCTGAGTTCAATCCTTGGTTCTGCAAAAATAAATAAATAATAAAAAATAAAACATTACCCTAACTAAAAAAAAAATATTTTTTCTCATTTCCCACTTTATTTTTTTCTTGTATTTATTTTTTTTATGTATTTGGTACAGGGTCTCAGTACACAGCTTGGACTCATAGTGATCCTCCTCTTTTCAGCCTCCCCAGTGCTGGGATTGCAGGTGTATACCACTGGGCCCAGACTCAGTGGCTGGCTCAGCATGCCCAGGGGCGGGGCTGGTGTGGCATGTGGTGGGATTTCCCACTTTAAACAGAACACAAAAATCCAAAACAAAAATTAGGAAATAAAACAAACAAAAAACTCCAATAAAGCACCCCCACAAAAGAAATTCTGAAACTGGAATGCGTCTATTTCCACATTTAAGTTTGGAACAATCCCATGTCATCATGTGAGGCACAATCATTTGAGTCATCCTTTCTGTCTCTTTTCCCCAGTCTGAACCGTCTGCAAATCTAAAACCATCAGAGTACTGGCTTCACAATCCGTTCATTGGGAATGTCACCTTGGCCCTTGTCTTAGCCACCAGGAAAGATGTCCGGGGCTCTCCACTAGATCTCTTAGTTGGATTTACACTCCTCCCTCCTGCTGTAGTATGTGTTTAGCTCAGCAGTCAGAGTGATCCTCTTAAAACACAAGTCAGGTGACACTCTCCACTCAAGCCATGTAGCTACTGTGCTTGCTGAGAACTGAAGCTAGAGTCCTCGCAGTGGCCCCTGTGCCCTGCATTGCCTGTGGGACTCTAACTCTACCCTCTGTGACTCCCTTCCCCACCCTCAGTCCCAGCTCAACTCCACTGGTGCTTCCACTGGCCTCACTGGAGAACTTAAACTCACTCATCTGAAAAACCACCTCCTAGTTGGTTTTCAGGTGACTTTGTCTTAGCCACCTGCTCAGCATCTGTGTGTTGCTTTTGGACTTCAGATAGATGCTTAAATGTCACCTTTAATGGGGTCCTTCCTAAGCACTTCAAGGACAATCCTTGACGCTACCTTTTCAGCTTTGTTTATTTATTTTTTTACTGCATTTGTCACTCTCTGAGAAGCCATGTGTTCAAACTATTTATTCTGTATTTTCTAATAATTGGTAAAATTCATGACAAAGATTTTTAGCTCCACTTTCATTAACTCAGCATATAGTAACCACCCAAATATTTATTGGATGTTTAAATCGTGCCCAGAGGAGCTGTAGGCTGACCCCCCTCCTGGGTAGAGGTCTGAGCTTTCACTCACTGACTTCTTGGATTGTGTTGCTGGGGGGGAAAGCATATTGTGTAACTTGTTGAAGCCCCCCAAGATGCCAAAGTTCATTCTGTAGTACTCATTTCAAAGAGGGAACATGTGAAGAAAAATCTCCTGAATTTTCCAATATCAAAGATGTCCTTTCTTTTCCCTCAAAATAAAATATCAGTTGGCTGGTTCATTCCTCCAATATTGTCAAAGGCTTTATATTTTTTTTAAATTAATGAGAATTATCATAACTTTTATAGGAGGTTTTCTGTTTGCTTTTTATTTTTTATGTTTGGATCCCAGATTGAACCCAGGACCTCCTGTTTACTGGGCGAGTGCTGTGCCACTGAGCTATATCCTGGGCCCTTGCTTGTTTGTTCTTTAGCAAGAGAATGAACTTTTGCACTGATCTACATCTCCAGCCCCTTTTTATTTTGAGACAGGCCTCACTAAGTTGCCCAGGCTGGTCTCAGACTTGTGATCCTCCTGTTTAGCCGCTCAGTAGCTAGAATCCAAGCTCAAGGGAAAGGTGTGCTATCCCTTGTCGTGATAAGAATCCTTACCATAAAAATTGTTTCATTTAAAAATAAATCAGTTATCAAGTAATACACCATCCATTCTGAATGGTAACCTGATACAGACTGCCAACTGATAAGAGAAACGAGATAATTATTTCATGGAGTTACTAGCCTGAAAGGAAAAGGATTTTGTTCCATAGATAGGTAGACAGAGAGATTGATGGATTCAGGATATATGAATATACATAGGAGAAGCAGAAATTGAATCTGTTGTAGAAAATAGAGCATTTTATTGTTTGGATGAGACTTTATGCCACACTTTTCTTTGTAGAATCCCAGGCACGTTTTGAAAGGAGACGCCCTCTGTCCAAAAGACAGGGTACCAGGCAGATAACCCTATGCCATTACCAAGTACTAAGTTAGGGAAAATTCTGCAAGACCACCCCTACCTGCTGACCTCACATGCAGAGTTCATGTGCTTCTAAGACCATACTCATGTTTTTTCAACTCACTGAAAGGACCCATAGAACTCATGGAAAGCTGGTAGGCTCGTGTCTACTGTTCCTACCTATGAAAGGACACACACTGAATGCAGGCACAGGAACAGACACATGAGGCCAACTCCAACCGCGAGAGCCCCCAGTGTGCAGCTCCTCGCTGTGCACCCCCAATGGAGACCGGGGGACCGTTGCATCCTGGTTGAGATGACGTGGATGCAGTAGCAACCTATCACCAGCACGGAGGCTCATGGGACTTTGCTGTGCAGAGCTTCGTAGTTATGAGTCCACTGACTGCACTGGTCATCTAGGAGGCTGAGCTCAGTCTCTAGTTCTTGCAGAGGTCCAGCCAATAATGTGGTTCGCAAAAACCCATCGGAGATTATGTTGTTAGAACTGACTAGTGGATTTGGTCTAAGATTCCCATGCTAAAAAACCAAAACCTAAACCAAACAAACAAACAAATAATGATACTTTTTGGGAAAAATATTCTAAGAGCTTGAGCCCAGACCTTACTCTCTTGGAGTAAATTTAATTTCCTTATTATGTGTGCACATATTCAAAGCTCTGTTTGGAAAAAGAGAAGGTTCCTTCCAGCTATAGCATTCTTTCATTTTCCTCCCAGTGTTTCTGTTTGCTCAGAACATTGAAATCTTCTATAATACAGAGCTTTTCATTTGAAGAATTTCTTCTAATTCATCCAATCTCACTGAGGAGCAGTATTGTTCCTGCAGACTGTCATTCTGGTCATAGCTGTAATTTTATTCAGTTGCAAACTTTCATCAGAAGTTCTAAAAGCTGAAGGAGAGAAAGAACATTTTGGTTCAAAAAAAGACAAAAACCACAAAACCTTCAATGGAAAAACAATGTCAGTGGACAGAAATCCTAAAACAAATTAATCTAGTTATGAATTCTAACTGGGCTAATGATACATCCATCAATCTCTTACCTGCCTCAGTTTCTGCAGCTTTAAATGGTAATAATGATCATTACTGCTTTTAAGATTATCATAAGAAATATATGAGTCATAAGTGGGATAATTAAAACCTTCATAATTGCCTTGTGTTAATTTTTGTGTTGTTCAGTAGTAGTGGATATTCAGTAGAAAAAATACAACATTATAAATCATTTTATTCAAATCAAATTATAATATTTTTCCAAAGGGATAGATTTCATGATGAAAGTAATTTGTCTTGATTGACTCAAGAAGTAATTATAGGGAAGTAATAATAGGGCAGTACTATGACAAGTTTCATAGTATTTAGAAGTCTTTCTACAGGGAAAAACATCAAAACCAGGTGATTTTACAGGTGAAGTTAATCAAATTTTCAACAGATGTATATTTCAATCAAACATTTTGAGAACAGGAATACAAGTTAAGTTTGTAAGTTTGATATGATTTTGAAATTCAAAGTAAGCAAGGATAATATGAAAAGTATAGTACAAAACAAGTTAATTTGTAATACTTAATAAAATTTCAGAGACTTACATAGAGATGTTAGGACATCTTAATGGAAATTACTACGTAAAGCTTAAATGGATGAAGAGTTATACTGAAATTAAGGCTATAATTTTTCAGATACTGCTATATAACTAATAAAATCCCAAAGGAAAAAAATGGTAGCAGAAGACGCTGTCCCCAGTATACTGCTTGTTAGTTGTCCAGGTAATAGTTCTGCTTACAGTTCCTGTTACTTTTGTTTCCTAGGATAGCTGATCACTGTGAGATATATTTGGTCACTATGATGCATATTGTAAGAACCAATCTCCAGTGGACAAGTTCTGCCTCTATACTTGCTGCTTTCGTAGCCTGTATTAGCCCTAGACCACCAGAGATCGGGGCCTGATTTTTTGGGAACCATCCCAGTGAGTGCCCTTGACATCAATGAGTCTGTTTCCACTCCTGGGTGTTGCCTTAATGTTTCTGTTTGCTCTCGTAAAAACTGCATAGAGTTTTAAGATTGCGAAAATACAGCCATCTCTCCCACTGTCAACAAGAAAGAAAGCCGGTAATATCAATGTTGGTGTGGCTGCAGATGAAGTTACTTTTTGCATTTTACACTTTGGAATGTCCACTTAGGAAGAAAAATAATACTGTTCATCAGTTCTGTTTCTAAATATATGTCAAGACGCTCCTCCACACGCACCCTGCAAGTCCACTATAAAAAGGGTCAAAACAGCTCCGTTTGTAATGTCAAAAACTAAAAAATAAGTAAACAGAAAAATCAACTTGGAAGTAATCTCCATGAATGTGGGGTAAGTAAAAAAAGATAAACATGTATATTTGTATAATGTAATACTCTTCAGTAAGGAAAAGAAATGAAGTCAAAAGAAACAAATAGATATGTTTAAGACAGAAAGAAGAGAAAAACAATCGCATAAGATGATAAAGGGTGCTGTCATTTATTTAATTCTCAGAACCACAGAGAGTCACTTGTGTTCTAGGATAAATATCTTTGCACTGTAATCATGCAAAGCAATACAATAATCTATAGAAAAACAGATTAGTAGTTACCTATAGAAAGAACAGATGACAGGTGCTTTTCCTTGGTTTATTGTTATGTTTTGTAACATGTGTGTCAAACATTTCATAGTAAACAAATTAAAATATCATCAACACCAAAGTTGCGAATGAATGATACCTGTAAAATCTTTTTTTTTTTTTTTGTACCAGGGATCCAAATCAGGACCTTGTGCTTGGTAAGCAGGCACTTGTGCCCCTGAGCTGTTTCCCCAGCCCTGTGCCTGTGAAATCTGAGTGGGTCTCTATTCTAGAACTATAGAAATTACCCCACATAAGTTATTTTTCTTATACTGTTGATATATGCTATTGTATCTCTCTTTTAAGCTGTTAGGATCTTATAGCTCCACCCATTTAGAAAGTAGTCAGTAAATATTAGATGAAGGCAACTTTGACTTTTACGCTTATGCTTGTTTCTATTGTGTCTTTTGGCCAATGTTACTCAGAGAAGTTGTTTTCTTATCTCTCTATTCAAGCAAGGTTGAATTTCAATGAGTCAGAATGTTTTCCAGGTCAGTCAACGTAAGTCCCAAGATTAATTACACATGAAGAACAACTTGCTTTTAGTTCAATAAGTTCAATAAATTTCACACCTGACCTTTTTATTAGAATCCATATTTATTCTTTAAACACCTTTAAAATAGCAACTACAATGAACTTTATTAGTATTAACTCATTGCTTCCCATAAAACTTTAAAAGAGATTGTTCATGTTACTATTCTAACAAATTTTAAAATATAACATTTTATAAAATCATTTACTTGGAAGGAATCTAGTGATAGGATTCATAGGAGTGTTTTTGATCTTTAAAAATAATACATTAGGAGAGGTTTATTTTTTGCTTTTGGTGCCAAGAACTGAACCCAGGGCTTCCAGCTTGCTAAGTAGGTATTCTACCTTGAGCCAAATCCCCAGCCCCCAAAATGAAATTTAATTCTTGCAAATATTTCATTTAGTTTGTTAAAAAGTGTTACCAATTCTTGATAAGGAAATTTGGTGTTCTTGTATAAGAACATTTACAAATGCCTTTGTCTTAGTTATCTTAGCTCACTTAACGCTGCTATACCAGAATGCCACAAACTGGCTAAATTATTAAAAACAGAAGTTCATTTGCCTCTTGTTTTTGGAGGCTGTAAAATCCAAGGTGGGTTCATCACAGCTGGAGAAGATCTTGGTGCTGATTCACAATGAGGTGGAAGGAACAGCTCTGTGAGAGGGATCCTGGGAGAGGTGGGAAAAAGGAGCCAGCCCTCTTCAGTAGCTCACTGGCTTCCATAACAACTCACTTTTGAGACAAAAGCATCCATTCACCTATGTCTAATCACCCCAGAAAAATTCCACTTATTATTACAATGGCAATTAACGTTCAACATGAATCTTAGAGGGGACAGACAAATGAGAGAGCTCCCTAGAGCGTTTAAACATTCAAAAATAATAATCCTCATATAGATGCATCATATCCCAAGGCAAATATTTTCCTATGAGCCACACCACCATACCCAGAGATTAAGAAGAACACTGGTTTTGAATTCAGAAAGTCTGGACTTGAATCTTGGTTTTGTGATTTATACCTTCTATGGTCTTGGGCAGTTGAGTTACGATTCTGTTGAAGAATATAAGAACAACCTCAGCCTCATCATTGTGCTAAGAATATTAAAGAGGATAATACATTATAAGTATGGATTTCAATAATGGTAGCAATTTTTAAACTTTTTTTTCATAATATTCCTGTCAATAGTACCGGGAAATACTTCTATTTTCCCTTATTGATAATAGTAAATAAAAATAACAAAATTCAATGTTAGATATAAAATTTGACCACCTGTGAAGAAAGAAAATTTAGAGAAAAGATTGTGTCTAGAACAGAGTCAGACAAAAGTATGTGATAGGTAAATTTAATCTCCATTTCAGCCTCCATTTGTGTCATTCTTTTTATTTATTCCATTTTTTCTAGCCCTTTACTTCTAGCCTTTTCCAAAACATCAAGCACCCTCCTCTACATCTGACTCATGGCATTATGGGATCATGAGTTGAAGTAAATAATACATATTCTTACCTTAGGTAATGATAACTGAGCCCTTGCAAAGATATTTAAATTATGGTATCAACAAGCAAGGGACACAATCTCTCAGTCTGAAATATTACAACTAATCATAAGAGTAGAGGACAGGTTATTCCTTGGAAATGCTTGTTCTATCTCCCCAGTTGTCTCAAAGGGCCACATACACAGACACACACACACACACACAGACACAGACACACACACACACACACACACACACACACTTCATTTGGATTGTGCTGATCAGTTAGAAAAGCTAAACCATTCTACTTGCAAAGTAAACTGTGACTCTAGAGTTTAAAGTATGTTCCATTAAAATGACTTCCTCCAATTTTTTCCTTCCTATTTCTCCTTAAAGTGGTACCAAATTGTGTCAGTTGTTATTGTCATAGCCTCTTACAGTAAACTGCATTGTTTGAAACATACAACACCTGTTTCTCTGTGTACATCTTTTCTTTTTTCCTAAATAGTTTTGGAACTCCTGCCACCTACAGATTTCTTCTGGAGTTGCCCTGGACTGCTTCCTTCTGCCATTCTTAAAGGGGTTGCTGGTCAGGAGAGAGTATCCTACCTACCTGAATTGTCCTTCCAACATGAGCAGGGATGCGGCTGGCCTGTGCTTCAGGCTGTGTTCTACGTTCTGCCGCTCTGCCACCTACAGCCTCCTGTTCTGGACAGCCTTCCCTAAGGACAGTTCAAGAATTGATGCTCTTTGTTCTTACTTCTCTCACAGCATGTTAAATGTATTTTTATTACAGCATGTCTGCGCTGAGGATAAAGTGTACATTAATTGTTGCACCGAAGTGGCAGTGTGAGCTGTCACTTCCGGGGCTGAGTCTAATTCATCTCTCAGAGCCTAGCGAAGGAGGTTCTTTATGTGTAATGAAGTGAATGGAAGAGTAAAGAGTTGAATCTATACAGTCCTCAAAACAGATTTTTCCCTTTCTAATTTTGGCATTTATCATATGCATTTATCTCTAGCAGTTTTGGACACATGTCACCTTAAGAGAACACTTCCCACACATCAATAGCTATTAATAAAATAAAGTAGAATTAATCACAATTTTCTGCTTTCTGAGTATTAGGATTTTGAATCAGACCTGTATTTTGTTCAACGTGTTTAATTGGAAACAATGGAAATTTTAAGCAGTGATTGATTCAGACAGTGAAGGAACCAGTAGAAAATCAACCAAACCATCCACAAAATATAGATGTACAAAAGTCATGCTTAACATTTGTTTGAAATATTCTGAGAACTGTATTTGTTTTTGCTTCCTCACAATTCAAGCGATGATGTTTAACTATGTTTAACTTTCTTTCCTTCTTTATTTATTTATGTATTTTAGGGAAGGGTCTACAGAGTGTTCAGGGGGTCACTATTAGATCAGACTCGTAGTGATCTGCCTGTTTACAGCCTCCGAAGAGCTGAGATTATAGATGCGTGTCACCATGTCCAGTCTCAATTACCTTCTCAGTGTGCCTTGGGGGCTGGGCCAGCACGGCAGGCTGGGGGATTGAACCCCTGGCTCCTGTGCCTGCTTGAGGCACTATAATCCGCTGAGTTATTTGGCCGGCCCTTGATGTTTAACTTTAAAACAGCAACAAAAATGGCCTGTCAGTGTGGGTTAACAGGCTGCTGCTTACTAGCTTCAGAGGCATAATTTCGAATTTCTCAACTTCCTTTGCATTATATACTGTAGCTCAAGTGTTTCGTCTTAAATCACCATCTATTTCGTGATAAATTGCTGTGATAAAAGTGCTTCATCTGGTGGGAAGAAGTGACTATTCATTTTGCTAATGTACCTTACATCTGTCATTTTCATTCCCCAAATACTTTGTCACAACATGGAATATAAACTTTACCAAGCAGGTCTGTGAAATATATCTTCAACTCGAGAGTCGCTATCTATGATGTAATTTGGAATACTAGGATGATTAGATCAGTATTTTTTTCCCTCTCAAGATGAAAGACTAAGAGCTAAGTATAGAAATGTCATCATCCACATCCCTTGATAAAAGAAGCACTAGTTCCAGCATTTATTCTAAGCTCAGATTGCGAGGTACTGATTCTATTGTACTCATTCCACACAGTTAAGCAATTCTTTGCTGTTGATAAGGACCTCCTCCTTGCTATTGTCTTGGAAAAAGGCATTTGTAGTATATTTACAAATTTTTATTTTTGTCAGAGAAAAATTTGAGTGGAACATTGTGAATTCAATTAATCTAAGACTGAGATACATCCTATAAAGGCAGTAAGCAGATATCAGCTACTGAAAATGATATCTAGATGGTGTTCAGAAACAGGATGCATTCAAGTATATTTTTAATAAGTGCATGTTGAGGAATAAATGACAAACATTTTTTCATGAAAGAAAACTTTGCCATATGAAAATAAGTGGTAGGAAAAGTCTTAATATCTTTTTTAACAGAAGGCAATATCTTTCTATTGTCTCTCAAAGTACCAAGCCAAAAGGATCTAATTTTTCACTAGGTAAATAGAAATCCAGAAAATAATCATATATATATATATATATATATATATATAGTGTAATACATTAAGTTCTTGATAGTTACATAAGGAGGGAAACAAAAATAGTAAGACTGGGTGCCAAGGAGGAAATAGAAACACATACAAATAGACATACTCACATACATATAAATAGAATATAAGAATCTTTGTTATTAGCCTCCTACTAAAATATCTCCTGATCAGATATTATTCTACCCAGTCACAAGTTGGGTGATGATCTACTTTTATGAAATAGGTAACAAAAATCCACCCTGTCTTGTAGTATGTGAGCCACTGCTTTTGAAAGAGAGATGGTGTCACTTTCACTATCTTGAATAAGAGTAACTTTAGGGTGTGAGGGCAATGACTAATCATAAGCAACAAAAATTTAGAGTACAGTTTGGAAGGATTCTACCTTAAAGCAAGTTTTTCATGATATGCTCATTCAAAAATAAATGACCACACTCAAGAATAAAGGCAACAATGTTCTAAAGTCATCCCAATAAGAAAGAAGGAAAATATTGCTCATTTTTCATCACGTAGAACTCTACTTAGTATATGTTTGTGTTTCACTAATCTTTTATGGCACTATGCATAAATACGTGCATGGGGCTTACTGAAAATATGATGCACATGTGAATCTAGTGATACAATTTTGTAGGCAGTAGATGGACTATAAACATTTGATGGAGCGTATGAAGTTGGGAGGAACTTAGGAAGAGATATCAGAAGGCTCAGAACTTCCTGAAATTGTACAAATTAAAGCACATGTGTTGACCCATATGTTTCTAAAGAAAGCCACAAGAATGGCCATGATGTTAACCTATAAATCTGTGACTCTCATTAGCATAAAATGGATACATTAGTCTGTAACTTACATATTCAGATTGAAGAATATTTAAATATATTGGAAACAAATATCTAGTGTTAAAATATTTGATAGATTTTCCACAAATTGGAGTTACTGCAAAGTAAATAATTTTTCAGAGAATGTTTTATATAGGTTGCAAAAGTATATAATTGTGTCAGTTGATGGAAATGCATCAAATAGCAGGTGTGACAACCGATAGCTAAAATGATATTTAATAGAAATTCATAGGGTGGAATTTCATTTTTTCTTTTCCATTTAGTCATCAAAAATACATGATATACAGTATAAAATGGAAAGAGATGAAATGAATTTCCACATGGCTTCTGCCTAGTTTCATCTCCGCAGTGAGTTCTTAGGAGGGCCAGAATCCATTCCTGTGTGCAGGCCTGGAATCTGCAGAATCTGTGAATTCCTTCCCTGTTCTGTCACCTGAGAAACTGCAGCACTAGGCAACGGAACGATCAGAAGGCAACGGAAGGCAGTTTATTTAGCAAGGTGTCAGGGTCATTTTTCCTCCTCTCTCGTCTCTTCTCTTCCCCTCTGCCTTCCCACCTTCTATTCTTTTCAGTTCACTTCATAATTTTAAAGACAATGCTCTCAAGAGCTATTATCACCATTTAGTATCATAAATGTAATAAAATCAAAATGCAGTAGATATGTTCTCAATGTTCTAAGCTATAGAGCAACTTTAGTCCTCTGAAATAAATAGAGTCCATGCAGGAAAACCTTTTGAAGTTACATAAGAAAGTTTACTTTTTTAGGTAATCAAACATAGTCCCTCCTTAGCATGTATGATAATAGCATTTGGTCATTTATATACTGTTTCTTGCTGTCACTCAACCAAAAAGGAAAAAGAAATCTATAAAATTTCATAAACTTTCTATTTAAATTGAGTTTACTGAGATAAGTTGTCTAAGAGTAGTTGCATTGTGATTTGTGGATCTTGTTAAGCTATCTGCTACTCATTCCAATGCATTATTTTCATCAGGGAAATTAGTTGTAGAAAATTTTCAACAGTTAATATTCAAATATTTTTCACAGAAAAATGATAACACCGTATCACTACATTTGAAATTTTATGAACTGTATCAAAGCTGATCACACACTACATTAAATAACATGAAATATCAGAAATAAAGCTATAGATCATTTTTTAAATGTGTATTTATATAGGATATGAAGTCACCCTCAATAGACATTTATTCTTTAGAATCAAAGAAATATTATAAGATAGTTAAAAAAGTGTGTATTAATGGTATGCATATATCCATAATAAACTAATTAATGACTTTCAAAAAATATACATATGATTAATTTAACTTTCATTAACTCTAGAGATTTTAAAAGTAGAATATATTTACTCAGCACTGTTTTGACTCAGAGAAAAATTAGTACTTTTAATTATTATATTTTTTTCAGCTTTGGTATTTTGTTTGAAATACAACTTAGGTTAAAAGCTTTATATCCAAGAACAAGTGAATAACAGACTACTATTTGCCAAACATACTTAATATGGATTAAACTAAAATATTGATTTGTAGAATAAAATATTTTAATCTCTTTATTGTATTCTATCCTATTAACTTAGCAGAAAATTATTTTCAAATTTTTTTTGTGTACTGGGAGTGGAAATCAGGTCCCCACACTTGCCACACACGTGCTTGCACCGCTGAACTATATCCCCAGCCTGAAAATTTACTTTTAAGAGAAATCATCATGTTCCACTTTTTGAGAGAATGTTCCATAAGAATTCTGAAACTTATCTTTCTCTTGAGATAAAAGGATTGCGTATTTCAGCACTAACTGAGGTCTTCTGTTTTCATTCATGTCATTATGCAACCTCATTATCCATCAGATGGGAATAGTGAGGTCTGTTCTTCCTTTCTCAGCGTTTTTGTGGTGAAGACACACGTGGAAATCAGCAGCGATAATGAGCAGGCAATAATCTTTGATTGAAGAAAGCATAAATTCCTATCAGTATCCTGTTATTGGTTCTTTCTTAATTTTTATTTCTGACAGTACATACGGAATCTTATTCCTAGATTGAAAGTTGCATGACTACAGTCCAACGTTTTTGCTTCACTGATGAAGTGAAATGAAGTATAGTATTTATTAAATCTTGAAATTCATAACATGATTTAATGGAGACTTTCACTTGCACTGAGATTCTCTGATAAATCGAGGCTAGTTGTGGAAGGCAAAGCTGTCAGTACCTCAGCTATCTAGGACGAGATCGCCGCCTCCCAAGAGCCTGGCAGGGCCGGGTGAGAACTGTTCTCAGCTCAGAGAGCTGGCCCTTGAAGAGACCCGGTTCTCCCTTGAGATATTCTAGACACTTCCTCTCTTGTTCCGCATGTAACCACCAAAACATGATGTTCTGCTAAAGATTAGATGTTCTTCCTGTTTTGAATCTTACTCCTTAAGCTCCCTAAACAGCCTTCTGCGATGATTATATAAATAAACGCACCTCAGTTGTTCGGCAGTCCTTTCTCCTGCAGGCGCGAGGTTCCACCTGACCTCCTCAACTTTTGGTATCTTGACTTTTTTGACTTCTTCATCCTCCCTCCGGAGTTTGAAAAGCTGTGCTGGATGTGGCTTGTAGCCTACTGAAGATATATTCCAATTAGATAAAAATATAACTAGTTAAATTGATCAAAAAAATTCACTAACCTCAGCTCTGTAAATCATTATAGAACAGAGCAGTATTTGACAGTGTTGTTTACATGAGAAACTTCAGTCAGTCCTACCCAGAATAGTTTGAGAAATTTTCATTGAATTTCAGAGAGAATTAATTCTTTTTCAAAAATTATTCATCCAGCACAGTGATTTTGACAATGTTTGCTCTCCAACAACATGGGCAAAGAGAAGCTGTATAGGTTGTGAGGTAAGTTAATTTAAAAAATAGTTTAAAATACTAGGGTAATATTTAGGTAAAATCTGACTCATTCGTACTCAGAATTTAGGACTGTTTGGTCTACTTAATTTCCTAGAAATATATATGCTCAGTTCCAGTGTGCATTATGTGAACATTATGGTTAGCTCCTCAAGAAAACATTGGCATTGGCATGACAACAGAGTTACAGAAGTGTTGTTTGAGAGACCACTGGCACTTTGGCTCTTTGTACTTTTATTAAATATAATAAGCATATCATCAAATGGCCTGGGTAGATTTCTCCTATGCCATATTTCAGTGATGTTTATGAAGCGATGGGTTAAAAAATAGAGCAGTATTAAACAATTCTATTGGTGTTGGAGATTTCTTAAGACAACTGAAAACTTTTGCTGACCTTTTTCTAGTGCTCAGGATTCGTGCTTTTCTTATACCAGGAATCATTTCGATTGTGTAATAAGAGATCCACAGTCATGCTTTCACATGCATGGAGATAAAGAGTCAAACAAATAGCAGGTTTGACTCTAAACAAATATTCATAGCCTTTGAATCATAAATGATTTATTTTTTAGTAGCAGTTGAGTTTTGTTGTCAAAAGAAATGTCATTCTCAAGTGATGGATGCTTAATCTTTGATTCTCTTCCAAATTTTTCCCTTTTGTACTGGAATCTTAACTTTAAAAGTTTTCAATGTGAGCAAAAGTTTATCTAATTTTTGTTGTGAAGGCGCTGGATTTTGTGTGATACCTGTATAAGTTGTTAATGAGCTTGAAAGGAAGATGCAAAACATTTTTTTTGTACAGCACAAAAATTCACATGTAAGTTAAAATAAGATTATTTGCTATGCTAAAATCCCAGAAGTGTAACCAGACAATATTATATTACATTAAATTATTTTTCAATACTATGAATATTTTTGATATTAGATTTTTTAAAGATATAAAAACAACTTTTTATAAATATTTAGTTTCATAATATTCACATAAATTTGTTCATTAATTCATCTTTTAAAATATTTGAGATAATAGGCACTTTACAAACTGAAATAGTAAACTTATTATGAATTATTTTATATATATCTATTAGAGCAACTGGATATGTTATGTAATTTTGATTGCTTTTAATAGTATGTACAGGAAAAATAAAATAGCTTATCATTTGCCTGTGTTACGGTAGTGTCATTTTGTTATCACACTCAGCTCCCAATCATCGACTAAAGGCCGGAAAGGAGAATATTTTTAGGATAATGTATTCTCTAGAGTTTCTCTATTAAAAGACAGTGCTTTCCCTGAAAGTGTCAGGACTTGCGAAAGAAACTAACACAATAGATCTTCGTAGAGATCAAATGCAATCTGCGTGTGAGCCAGAGAGCACTGCTCTAGTGGGGATGTGCATCTGCGCAGGAACCACATTTCGAATCAGGGGCTAGCACCTGCCTGGTGAGCACAAAGGCTTGAGTTCAACTTCCGGAATTAAAAAAGCCAACCAACCAAACAACAACAAAAAAATAGGAGCTGGCATTTCAAAGTCTCCTCAGTTGTAAAATGGTAGGGAACCAAGAAAAGGAGGAGGCAGAAGGAAAGGAAAGGGGACAGAATAAAATTAAAATGTACTGTGTATGTGTGTCAACTTCCCACAAGAAATAACCACAAACATGTTAATAAAAATATAAAACAACTTTTAAAAATAACAAAGAGAAAGGGGGCCATCCTAACTGTACACATGCACACACTACACACACCTGCAGAAATGTTGATCATTGTCAAAAGATATGTTAAGGACAAAGCATTATTACTCATATAAAGCTTTGTAATATTTTCTCTGCAGGAGCATCTGGAAAGGCAAGAGTTATCTAAGGATTTTCAATCACTTTGAGAAAAAGGCAGGACGGACTAAGCTAAGAAAAGATTTGAGTTCCTAGTCAGAACAACCAATCTATAGTACAATTGGCTATGTTACTTCAATAATGTATGCTACGTTGGGAAGTACACTTATATACTGTGTGAGTTAGTGAAGCCTTCTGGCCTCACAGCACTGTAGAAATTACATGGTTATTTTTGCCTTTTGCAGGTGAGGGAACCATATTCAAAATTTTGCCTAGTTTTATCTTCAAATTAGTTGTTTCGGTTTCCAGATGTAAGCATACAAAATTGGTAAACAAAAATAAAATAAATATGTTATAAGAAATTAAAAAAACAGAAAGAAAGAAATCTGAGCTTTAATTGTTCTTTTAAAAAGACCAGCAAAAATCAACAGTATGCAATTCAACAGCCATTATTGAATTTCTGTTATTTTGTTTGGTGAAATTCTGTATTATTTCTAATTTTTTTCTATTTTATATTGTCTTTTTAAGATGCCCAAAGATAACAGTGAGGCTAGAATTTAAATCCAAATCAGGGTAAGGAATTTATTTTCTTCTCATAGTGTACTTGTTCTTATATGCTATTGGGCTCCAACACAGTTTGTTTGTTTGTTTGTTTGTTTGTTTGTTTTTTTCATAGAAATAGGATGTGTATAGAAGCCCCACTGATGCTTGATCTTAAGGTCGAATTTTATGTTGTTCTCTCATGACTTCCCACTCTACCATCTAAGATGCAAAGCTGGTTTACAACTGCTGGCAAGTAGGGAACAGAAATGATGAAGGGGAATTACGGCTTGCGAATGAGATGAGGCTGTAAGGTCTCTTTAAGGGCTTGAGTTAGGAAGCTCTGGTTTTAAAGAACTACATTGCCCAAGGTGAAACAGCCATAGAGCTATGAAATTACGACTGCTGATAATTCTTTTAAAGGGAAAACATGGATCTTTTGCCAACAAGGAATGTGGAACTAATTTATATCTTTAAATAACAATATTGAAATTGCCTCATGTGTCAAATTGCTCTGTGTGTTTGTTTTTGTGGAATGACTTTCTTGAATTCTTACAGTCAAAATGAAGAAATCAACGTGAGGTAGATACTATTCACCTTTGAGTGGATTTTCAGTAGAATAACCAGACATGAGCAGTTTATCTGACATATTTCAATTACATGACTTAAATTTTAAGCAGAGACTTCTCCAAAATAGAAGTTATATTCTTATTCTCTGGAATGTTACTGAAGACCAGTATCCCACATATCAAAAAAAAGCAGTTTTTTTTAAAAAAAATTTAACTAGATCAAGAATTTCACTGTTGTAATACTATACCTGGCTTTGGAAACTTTTCCTTCAAAGCTGATATTTATTTTTTTACAGATATTTCAATGATTTTTGTTACTATAGGGGAAAATCAATATCTATATTAATAATGTTACATTTAAATAAATGTGTCATTTCTCATACTACATTATTTGTTTTTTTTTTAAATTTTATTTATTTACTTATTTGTGTGTGTGTGTGTGTGGCCAGCTCAGCCCACCAGGGGGCGGGGCTGGCTGGCATGTGGTGCTGGGGGATTGAACCTCGGTCCCTGTGCTTTGCTAAGCTTGTTCTAAGTAGGTGCTTTAGACCACTGAGCCATCTCACCAGCCCACTACATTATTTGTAGTATAGAATCAAAATGATACACTTCATGTTAAGGGAAGATAATTCAAATATTCTATTTTTAATTTTTTTCAAATATTCTTAAAATAATTACTAAAATATTTCATTACCAAGTAAAATGTGAAGTTTAAGTAGTAGTTTAGCAAAACTGTGCTACCCTATGTTTTGAGTTTCATGTTAACCTTGTTACTGTTGATTTCATTTGTATCCCTAATCAAACCATGTGTTGTTTCTGAAATATTATTAGTGTGCCAAGTTATGAAAAACCAGTCTGTTTCATTTTAGATTACTAGATTGCAAACAAAATATATTTTATATAATTTTGATTCTTTTTCAAGTATGGAATTGATAGTGATCTGCTACTTCAATATCAGGATTTAGCAACATAGTACCTCAATATTAGTCTAGCGTCTATTACCATATCTTTTGTTCCATGAGCTCCTATTTTAAATGCCTGATCAAAATTAATGTGGTTCCTCTACCCAATGGCATTTATTTTGGTTATAAGATTAGAAATGTAAATTTGCAATAAAAGAAGAAAATAGGAGGCTGGATTTAATGAATATTTTACACATGACTAATTAACAGAATCCCCTGCAGGAATTTAGGAGTAATAAGGAATTGACTGAAAATAAATTAAAAATTAATAAAGGAGTCTCCAAACAACTTTGTTTATGAACATTTAACAGTTGCTTTCTTAGTTATGAATATTTCAAGCTGTTTTGTTATTCAGCATGTATTATTCTTGTAGTGTTCATAATTTTAGAGGTGATTAGACGAAAAGGAGTAACACACAAAGCAAAATGTCTTAAAATGATAAAAATCCACCTTGGGAAAACTTGCTAATGTAAAAATAATGGCTTAATATTCATAGCTTTTGTCTAGCAGAGTATGCCAAGCAGCATAATTCCAAATAAGGATCAAGAACACTTCAAATGGGTACAAGGAAACCCAGCAGCTTCCTTTTCATGAACAATGTGAGTTCTTTCAGAAGAGATACTTTTGAGTAGAATATAATGCTATTGTTTGTCAAACACTCTTAAAATCAGTTGAAAGGATATGGATTTATTCTTGCATTTAAGTTAGTGAGAATATCACCTCAAAAGGAATATGATCAAATCATTTTTCTTCAAGTGTGTTTGGGTTTCATTTATTTAAGTTGCTGAATCTTTATGGGCACTTTTCCTCACTGTTTGCAAACAAAAGAAATACGTTGAAGAACTTTAGTGGCACTACATCAAGAGAAAAATTTTAAGTAACTTTGAATCTTCCCCAAATTAAAATGCAAGAATCAGTCAGACCGAGTGGCAACTATCCCTTCTCCCCATGAGAACAAATAACCCTGGATGACCTTAATGAGGGCATGGCCTGCTTCCTCATTAGAGGCTAAAATGTAGAGTAAAATGTAGAGGGTAAAACCTAGATGGAAAATATGTTGTCTAAAGAGAAATTAGAAATACAATTTTCAGATGTAAAG